ACGACGAGCAACCCCGTCTTTTTTATATAGGGGTTCCCCCCGGGGGGTCGTACATCCGCCCACTCCCCTCAAAAAAATCAGGGATAGGGCGGACTTGCACAGGCTACTAAGGATTTGCTGCCAGACACTCCTCTCAATATAATCCATAAGTCTGATTCTTTCGCTTGGGCGTTTCATCAACTTGTATTTCTTTACAGCATGATAGGATATCAAATTACGACAGGACATTCCATGTAAAGACTGGTTATTGCAGTAAACTTCACAGGGACGACAGAGTGCATACTCGAGGACTTAATGTTCACGCTGAGGTTGGTGGAACAGTTGAACAAGGGAACAAAAAAGTGTCTAAGTGTTATTTTGTATATGAGTGTTTGTGGAAAACAGCTAAGAAAGGAAAAGTAAAAACAAATTCTCAGCCCTCAATTCTGAATCGGGAACGGATGAATGACCGAGAAACGCAGAGAAAAAGAATGTAATAAGGGCTACTGCGATTATGGCTGTAGCAAGCTACTCGGCTAATTCTTCAGAATCATTTTGGACTGCAGATTTGCGGCGGCATTTGATATATCTAAGACTGCATTTAAAAGAACTGTACTCAACCAAGTTCGTGATGGAGTTTAGGGTTCACTGTTGATGATTCTTTGCAGTGTTTTCAATTCACTCGTTTTCCCTTTCATCTAAAGCCCCGTCCACACGTATCTGTTTTCTTTCCGGATACGGCTTCCGTCCCCACGCATTCGGCGAATTCGGCAGCGAATCAGGATATTTTTGTTGCGTGTGGACGGGGAAATTTTTGAATCCGGAATGAAAAAGTTGCGGATTCAAAAATATCCGGATACGTGTGGACGGGGCCTAACATTCAGGGAGTTTTAGCAAACCACGACGGCGACGGCAACGAGAAAGTCACCAAACAAAAACATTAATGAGCAGGACAATGGCCGTGCACGTGCGTTTTGAATCTTTGTACATTTCTTTGCCTTCCTCTGCAAAACAACAACGTCAAATGACAAAGTCGTACGTATTTTGGAGAACGTGTGCCCGAATGGCTAATTTTTCATGTCCTCCTTTGGAATTGAACGCTGTCAATACATATTTCACCTGAGCAGGTTTTTAGACCGATAGGCGTACTGAACAGATCTACATAGTTGCGACATTAATTCGAAGGTAAAATATAAATACTTTTTTGAAAAGGTGTCGTCCTTGGCGTCGCCGTCGTCATTGCTAGAACTCCCTAAATGAACTCTCGCCAGCACATTCATTCTGATCACAGATCAAATACGAGAGCCGGGTATTTAGGCTACACAGGGTCAAAATACACAATCATTATGGTTGGATTCAAGTTTAATATTGCATCATTTGCATGCCATTTTTTTTATTGTTACTTGACTACGATACCTTCAATGAACTGCCAGTCAAATCAAATTTCTTACCCTCGTGACTTGGCTGGGACGTACGGTGCGACACCTACCATGAACTGCCAATCAAACCAGGTTTCTTACGCACGTGACTTGGCTCGAACTTTTTTTACAATAGGGCCGGTCATGCGCAGATGATCATCTACACCTGGATTTACTTTACTTTAATTAGATTCTCAAATTAATTTCAGCAAATCCATCAAAATTCGAAGGTAAAATATGTCACTTGTGCTAAGTGCGATAAAACATGATGTTATGCATGCTGAGTACCAGTGGTTTTGAGAATTTACTCCTGACTGATTGGTTATAGAGCGGTTTTCATTTGAGGGTCGAAAAGTATTTGGTTTTGCATCAACTACGCTACAGCTATGCTACACGATTGGCTTAAAAAACTCCCGCCGTTTTTTCATCCAATCAGAAGTAAAACTAAAACTAATCGTAACTCGCTCGGTCACGTTTTCCCGCGCTTTTCCATCAGCTACATGTAATAACTTGGAGTTTTGATTGGCTCACTGTATTGTCTATATCCTTTGTGATTGGCCTGAGTGATTACTTTGGTTTTGGTATCATGACACACAATTGAAATCCGCCCTAACAGGTAGTATGTTTAGTGTAACCTTTGAGAAAATCATTTGGCTTCTTAATGATAATCAAACAATTAATTAATACAGTCAGGAGCCATAATCGGGGACGTCCCCGATTATGGCTCCTGATACAGTGAAACCTGTATTAAGTGGACCCCATATTAAGCGGACACCCTCTATTAATCGGACAGCAGTGCAAGTCCTTTTTTTCTTTTCCCACATTTACTGTAAAAAATACCTGTATTCAACGCCCCTCTATTAAGCGAACGCGGACACCTTAAACTTGACTTTTATGGTCATTTCTATTGTCAGAAACCTGTATCAAACGGAAACTGCAAAAAGAATGTATGATTTTTCTGTCCACGTTTTAGTAGATCGATCATTTAAGTTTGCCAACAAACTGAGCTGTCACAGAAATGCAATATTTTTTTATTCGGTTTTGTTTTTACAGAACTTTTGTTCTTGTTTGATTTTGTAAACCTTCACATGATTCGATCAATGTAGATACTGTTACTGTATACTTAAATCGCTTTACCTCAAATACTTGTCATTGTTTATAGAAATACGGTATTTCAGAGTTCTCGACCGTTCACGAGAATGCTATTTGACTCTTTCAAGGTCTTTTAATACTGAATAATATTAGTATGACCCTTTTAAGACGAATTCCCGGAAACCTGTTTTCAACGGACACCCTGTATTAAGCGGACACTTGCGCGGGTCCCGATGGTGTTCGCCTAAAACAGGTTTGACTGTATTGTCTGGTTTATAACGTAGTCTCATGCTAGCTCCTCACAATGCTTCCAGTGCTCGCGAGCGCTCGGAAGGGTCTTGAAACTATAGTTATCGGCTAAATCTTTTTAATTATCTCTCCACACAGGAACAAACAAAGGCAGTGCCAGTTCTAAGCTCATCTCTGTATGGCCATCGACCTCCTTTAGAGTCTCCTTCTCGGCGCCACGTCCGTGTAGCGACAGTAAAGCGAGATTTCTACCGTCACAGTGGAACTAACATACCTCTGTTTTAGAGCATTGATTTCTATCGACAAGAACTTACATTAAAATTGCTTTCGGAAAAATCTCATTGAGCTTCTTGTATTTCGACAGTTAGATTAAGAAAACCTCTCTCTTACTTCAATAAGTTTTTTCCCTCCAAAGCGTTATGGACGTTATCGGTCCCATCTGAAAGGAGGGGCTACTTGAATGTTTTACATTGTTTGCAACACGCACACAACATTATGCGGCTCAGGTCATGTGGGGTAAAAAGCTTTGATAACTGACGATTTAAGGCCAAGGGGGTACTTGTTACTATATTATGAGAAGAAAAGAACAACATTTTCGGAAAACATTGCAAGGCAACTGGTGATTTTTATTTTTCTTACCGCCGGCATATTTTCCCTTACCACCCCCCGGAAAAATATTGAGCCTCGAGATAGGCTAGTGTATTAGTAGCATTTCTTGTTTCGAAGGATAGTTTAGTCCATCGATGTTCTTCGTCGATTTCAAGTCGAATGGATTTGTTAACCCTAAAGTAGAAAGTAGGGCTTAACTGGTCATTAACAGGTTGTGAAGGACGACGGAAGAATAACAAACAACACCAAAGCGGGTTTGATATATTTAATCGCCTCTTTATCTGAGGACTCGTACTTTCAATACGAACCAATAGTTTTTTCCCGATAACAAGTCCTTCTTCTCTCAGTACATCGTACAAGCTCAATATGTTGAGTTCTCTTAATTGAAGAGCTGAGCTATTAATCTCCATCATTGTCAACATGCCATTCTTAAATTGTGTTGAAGCACACTGCACTGATGAAGTTCAAGGACGAATGAACGGAAAACAGGAAACTGAAAAGTAGCTCTTGTTTGCAACGCACAATATTACTAGGCAACAGCGCTCTACAGTGTAACATCGAATGTTTAAACACTTGAGTTTTGATCGGTTGGATAACAACCGTGTTAAAGTCGTTACTTCTGCTCATCAAAACTTCTTTAAAGTTAGCTGGATTGGAGAGGGCTTTCAGTGTGAGTACACAAAATAAAGTTCTGAAGGCGACCGTACGTGAGAGACAGCTATTACGATAATGAAAACAAACTCTTAATAAACTTTTTTTAAGGTTTTCGGATGTTGCAAGTGAACCTTTGAACTGATTTATTTTAAGACAGACGATGTGATTTGGCGTAGTATACGGATTCCCTAAACATTTCTTACAACACTGGAGGGGAGACAGTGATCATGTATTTTCGTTTTTGGACGAAACCTTTTTTATAAGAGCGTTAAGGCCGGATTAATACGTATTATAACTCAAATTTAAAGAAAATACTAAGAGTACCTATCCCTTCTCCCCTCAAGTTGAGAGTCAAAAGGAAGTTTATTTTAACCAGTTTTGGAAAGTACAGATGCAGTGGGGAGTCTGGTAAAATGTAAAACTTGCCAGTCTAAAAGTCCACCCGTGGTATGGACTTATTTGAACATAGCAAAAAGCTTGTTTTTATTGCATGATTTAAAAGTGTATTAAGCTGGGATAGACATATGAAACATGGTAAAAACTCACGCAACTGATTTTACGCATGGTATGGGCGGCCTGGCATCAGTTGAAAAGCTTACAAACTAAAGCAAAAGAAAAGTTGCTTTTTAAAGTGCAAGGAAACCGTGTCATGATCGGGATCTTAAAAAAGGAAGGACTCTTCGATGTAAAGAAGGATGTGACAAGCAGAAACAACATTTAGCACTCAAGTATTACCAAAAATATCAACACTTTAGAGGAGTGTTCGGATCGGGAAAGATGTTGCCATGGAGCTTTCTGATTCACGAGGCGCACCTATTTTTCTCTAAAGCCGATTTCGTTTATCAAACCCAATGTCTTCCACATATCCGTAATAGCGCTCTTTTTTCACAAACAACAGGGAAAGAGGGGATCTTGTTGGCGATTTTGCGTCATTCTCGTGACCATGGCCTGCTCCGTTTGGTCAGTACCAAGAACGCAGGCTTTACCAAAGTCCGATTTGAGAGTCCTGACTTAAGTGGACTCAGTTCAGAGACTTCCGGTCGTTTTCGCTCAAAGCTGATTGTTTAACAATGTAAAATTAGCGCATGCTCAAAAAATCGGACTTGGTCAGGGCCTGTGTTCCTTGGTGCTGACCAGAAAAGAAAAGCGAGCTTTGTGGATGGAATTGGATGTGGTTTCTACTGCCATGTGCGCCTGCGCCTGCGAACTCAGTTGTGAGATCAAAGAATTTGTTTGTCGCAAAATCAAGCTCAGTTTACTTTATTGGACGTCCGGGCGAAATTAAAATGTCTATCTACCGTACTAAGAGGCACTATATTAAGTGTTAGTTGTCAATTTTTTGGTTAAAAAAGAAACTTGACATTAGTGACTTATCTCATCTCAAAAACGATATCTTTCTTTCCTGTTCAAAGACTTTCAAAAAACCAAGAAATTCTGATCATACCAGAGAAAAGCTGTCAGTCACAGAGATCACAGAACCAAGCTCCCTTATTCTTTCAGTTATATTTTGTACAGTGTTTCCGTAATGAGCGTTTCGTGTTTTACAAGAAAGTCAATAACACTTGATTAAACGAACCTCCGCCTTCGGCATCGCCATATTTGAAAAAACAATATCAGTCTATTAAAAAAGCATTTTATTTCCGGTACTGAAAACTTGAGGAAACGCAAATGAGAGAAAGCAATTGCTTAAAGTGTAACATGATTAAAACTGAACACATCTTGTTCAATTTTAAGTGCTGGTTTGCTAATTACGTTTATTTTCTCGAAATACACCGTCGAGTCTTTTCTACTCTCTTCAGACTGTTCAGTATTGAGTATTGGTCGCATTGATTGTCACGCAACGACCTGACTCAGTCCACAACTGTTCATTGAGACAAACAAAGATAGAATGAGTGTTGTATGACGACCAAAAGAGATTACCTAGAATAAAATTAAAACATGGTTGTGAAGAAAAGCTTCGTAACGTTTCCGCCTATATTACTGGCGGTAAATTCACTGGCACTGCCATTTGTTTATATTTGCTTGTTTGTTGTATCTGGGGACTATTTTTAGTGTGTTGTTAAAATATCCAACGTCCCAAATCAGGCTCGCCACTTACACAATAAACACGACAATCAATATTAAAAACACTGCAACAAAAACATTTGATTTTTCCCATGCCATTTTTAGAAGCTAGCGGAAAAGCTTGTGGCAAAATAGGACGATTAGTGAAGCAGCCACAAACATTGGAATTAAGGCGAATGTCAACTTTCTGTACTTGATTTGGTTGGATTTGCGGTCAAGATCACGGACATTTGAATATAATTTCACCGTGCCCTGTGAATGAGTTTGTTTGAGAAGGCATATTAAGCAGTCCAGACTATAAGAACGTCATATCACGATATTAAACACCGTGAATTCCTTGAAGAAAAATTTTCATGGCCAAGCTTTGTGTTTCCAATCTCTCAGTTTTCAGTTTTTGCAAACGCATTATGTAGTTTACATACTCACACGGAAACTGCCCTCGTCATTCAAAGCTGATTGTTATAAAAAAAATCGTGATTGGAACGCCCTCCCATGCCGGCCAGGAGGCTTACGGGAACTATAATCCACAAAATCCGTTCCGCCGGATCCGGTTGTAAGATGCGATGGAACTCCTGACCCCGCCCCAACACGTACACGAACCTTTAGCTTCGTGGAACACATAAAGTTACAGTGTTGGAAACAAAGGCGAATTCAAGATGATAGCTCTATTTCAGAGTTATACGTAGTTGTGTACCTTTGAATGTTTGTCTGTCTATATTTTTGTCGTTAAATTAAATGGACTAAAAAGCGCTTTCTTATCTAAAAAGCCTAGGCCATGACACGCACTTTACCTTTATATAATACAGAATGGGAATTTGGGAGAATTCCAGCGAAATTTAGAAAAACACTGAAGCCGCAGCTGGCGAGCGTTGTCTAAAATCCTCAAGTGTTTGGGCAAATTCAATTCTCTGAGGGTTTAATGACAGTATGATACAGTAGCTTACAACGATTAAGGCTTCTTTAAATGCTTTGTGATACAAATTAAACATGCGCGAAACAATAAAACGCACGTTTGTTTGTTTTAAACTCTTGTAAAACATAGCTTTTTGGTCAATCAAAATTCAAGCACAATACAAACTATGTTATAAAAAATAATCGTATTTTTTTTCTTACTAATTAGCACGGGAAGTGTAGTTTGACCGAGGAGAAGGCAAACATTGGAGCACTTATAGAAACACGCTAGAGCCTGCAGGCCTTAACGAATGCGATGAAATGTAATTTTATTAGCTTTTATCCTTATCCGTATTATCAGCTTGTAATATCAGTTGATTTTCAAGTTATCCTGTTAGTAGCTCTGACACATCACGTAACATTTCGTGTAATTTCATAGTATAAATGCCATGTGAACTCGCGGTTTCCTTCAGTAAATTAGCGAGCCGTAATGTTGCGATGCAGTTACGCCCTTCTTACACGTTGTTTGACCAGTCCTTGTGCTAATTGTACTACTGCAATGTAGAGAGTTTGATCGTACAGTTATTGTAGCGGCTTCAAAACCTTTGGAAGTTGTATTACAACACAGCTAACGAAACCGCGCGATCAATACGTACGCATGCCCCATAACCCCGGTGGGGGACTCCCATGGGTCTGGGATGCCCGTTGTCCTACACGGATTTTGGTCTCACTTAAGGTGTGCAGGAAGAAACGCCACAATTTTTGTCTGTCAAGGCATCTTTTGGAGTTACATTCGAATAAGTAACAAGAAAAAGGCTATTTGTCTAATTGCAAGCGGTATCTTTTAGGGGTCAAGTAAAGCTCAAACCACGCCCAGAATGGGAGTCCCCCCAGGAATCATAAAACGCTCATAGCGCGAGCAGAGCAAACTTCGCTTCCTTATTTCCATTGGCAATGATATAGAATGATTGACTCACGCTTCTAGCACTGCATCATCGAGTTATGATACTCTCGCAAAGTTTGGAGAGCTCAACAAGCTAAAATTGCTCTCGGCTGCGCCCCCTCACGCTTCTTTCGTGCTCTCCAAACTTCTCGCGTTTATCATAACTTGATTATGCATGCTAACTTAGCATAAATCAATAGTTAATTTTATCACATATTTGCATAAACAATTTTATCAACACTTTCAAAGACTGTTGTGATCACGCAAAAGGTGAATAAAGGTGTATATGCGCGGCCTATTCCTGGCTTATTAACAAGCAAAATTTTACCTTATCATTCTATGTACATTATCAGAAGCGCAAATATTTAACCAGTTTTTCAAGGTGAAACGTTCTAATTTTGTATCTCTGAATTTCACAAAACCAATATATGTTTGCTATTTTTAATTTCCAGATATGATAACAATTTAAAGGCGATATTTTGATAGTGTGATGATACTTTGTATACATTAACGGTTACCATAAACACCCGTATGGCAACCGCATATCGAAAACAGAGATGTTTGTTATTCATCTTAGGTTGTTTTTAAGTCTTCTACAATCTTATTCTATGTGATTTTCGTTTAAGCAAACAGATTATGGAGTGATAATGAGACAATTCAGAGACGGAATTAAGGGGGAGCGCCATAGACACAAATATGAGTCATACCCAGGTTTTCTTTACAAGGCGTCTTTGAGTTTTAATGCACGTCACCTTGACTCTTTATTCAGATACTGTTATAAGAAATCATATTTTTTCATCACTGTTGGAGTTTCAAGGTTAAAACCTCTCCGTCAATAACAAGACTTATTTTTAAAATATCTGCTAGTTGAATGGAGCAGGGCGCTACCATTTGCAAATAAGGGACTGTTGTGAGCCAGACTGAGCCAGTAGTAGACTGAATTTAAACAGTATCGACCAAAGGGTGTACCATACCAACCAGACCCTGTGCTTGATATTAACACACATAATATTGCAAACGTCAAGATATACAGTTTCCAATCTAAAGCAACGGATATTTTCGACTAACTAATGCAAAGGATATTTTCGAAAACCCGAACTCTAGCGGCACGCTGTACACAGGCACCAAGGTTCTACATACAATCTTTTTTCAATAAGAATATTGGTTTTCCTGCCAAGGCTGAATATTTCAATTTTTCTGCCGATTTTAGGCTAAAAATATTCTTGTAAATATTCTTAGATTAGTTAAACGAATATGGACTATGCTGACACAGCGTCACATTATGTCTTATCAAGACTTGACGTTGAAGTAATTTTGGAGTCAGACTGCAGGCAATAAAGGCTTATATGACACATAAAGTGTTATTTTAGCAGCGAACATACGGCTAGCTAGTGCTGAATTTGCTGTTATTAGCCTAGTTTTGCCGTTTAGAGAAGGGAAGAGTATTTTTACGGGTTAATTAAAAACATATAATTGTATTGCGTTTACAAATTTTCAACACCCAAAATTATATTCTATTCAAAATCTCAGCCTTGGACGTAGTCTTAAAATATTTTTAAAATTTCGCATACTTCAGCTTCGATATTCTTATAAAATATATTCCTATGATGGAAAAAGACTGTATTAACCTTTGTCCTCGGAATTCAATATCTAAATAATGTTGCCTTTATTTCTGATATAGTGACTGAAATTCTGATGTTTTCATGCTTCGACCGCATACATAGAAAGACAACCCGGTTTGCAGGCGCCAATAAATTAATTTATTTCATTTTATGAACATTAATGATAACCTGATTACAATTTGTGTTCGACACTATCGATGAAAGATCAAGTTTCCTTATCACGGATGAAATAACTGTCTTCAGAGTAATCCATTTAGCGAGTCACAAAGTACGGATGAAACCATTAATGAATTAACCCCCAAGGGTGCTGAAAGGAAGAAACAATTTCTTGTTTTTCCCCTGTCTAAATTTCTCCGTGCACGTTTTCTTGCCGCAGGTAGGAAATTTCTTCACGGGTAAGGAATTTCTTAACTAGTGGTTTTCTTTTCAGTGGGCCCACCCTGAATGCACACTAGTCCGGTCACTTGGCAACGAGCCGAAGTTCTTCAAAACATTTTAAGACACAAGTGTTTAGATTTATATGCTCACGGGAAACACTGACAAACAGTAATATTAACAATGTGACCGCAGTTGATGTTATTACAAAAAAAGTAGCGTTAGAAATTCCTCTCGCCCCTTACTGGTGTGATTTTTTATCTTGTAACTTCAATTAGCACCCTCTGCCCTAAACGGAACAGCCAGAACCACGTGGCCACGTCTAAAGTCACGCTTAAACTTGCGTGTACGCGCGTGATGGATGACATTGATATAGCTCGCGAAAACGCCTGGTAATGAATGCTCAATTAATTAAGCCGTAACCGAATATGTGAAAACAATCGCTGCCTTCTAAACATGCTAATAAGTGATAATGCATAATGAGGTTAAAGATCCAATTTTTGAACATCGATGGCTAGTCCCGGGTGGCTAGTCGTCTGGAACAACATTCCTTGTTTAACGCACAATATAAAAAGATTAAGTGGCGACAGCAGTGCGGACACTGGAGCTGTAGAGGTGATGTCTTCGCAATCACCGCACCTGAGCCGAGCACAGAAGCGCTTTCTGAAAAAGATCGCAAGCTTCTTTTACGTAACAGTCACAGTTGTCATCGTCACTGTATTTCTTCGAGACTGGTCTCAGGTCTGGACGGTTGATTCTTCTCCTCGCACGAGACAATTACGATCGGTGAAGATCTACACAGAACTTGAATTGATCACAAGACAACCAGGGGAAGAGAAAGAGGTCGCACGTACGAAAACAACAGAAACGCCGGTAAGCATAACAGCCGATCATTCATGCTCTATCAGTACTGTCGATGCACCAGCAACCGGGGATGAATTACCTGCAGAACACAAGACTACTCTAACAACTAAGGCGACCTGTAATCAACATTATTTTCTCCTCATTCTCGTGTCCTCTGCTCCGGCTTATTTCGAAAGAAGGCGAGCAATCCGTCAAACATGGGCTGCTGACAGCGTCATCAAATCACGCTGGAAGACTGTTTTCCTTCTCGGCCAATCCCGAGACAAAAATAATTCGGAGCTGCTTTTGCGCGAGGAGGCGTTTTACGGGGACATGATTCGAGCTAATTATTATGAACACTACTGGAACCAAACTCTTAAGATTGAGATGGGTTTCGAGTGGGCAGCCAGATACTGTAGTTTTACATTTCTGCTCAAAGCGGACGACGACGTTTTTATCAACCCGCCGGCTGTCATCGCTGTCCTGAACAGGACCACTACACCCAAACAGAAACTTTACATGGGATACGTGTACAGAAATCCTGTGGTTCAAAGAAAGGGAAAATGGTTATTGCGCCAAGAGGAATACAATGGCACGCATTATCCCGACTTTTGCGCGGGTCCAGGATATATTCTATCCCTAGATGTCGTACATTCATTTGTTAGCATTTTTGGCAGCATACCGAAGTTTAAGTTCGACGATGTTTATGTTGGAATGCTCGCCGCAAAAATCGGCCTTCACGCCATTCATGACAGAGGCTTCCAAACGCCGCCATACTTATCCACCACATGTGTTTTGTATGACAACACTTTAGTAAGGCACGGAGCTGTAGGCCAATGCCTACTTGACCTTTTCAGAAAGGCGATGCCCTCTTTTAGCTAGCATATGCGTAATATAATTCATTAGATAATCTAAAATGAGGCCGGCGAACTAAAACGAAAATATCCTCAGTTGCGATCGACCATTTGGACAATGCCTGATTATCGCAAGTTGCTAGATTCCGTCAATTGGGTATATGCGAGCTAAGGAAGATATACAGAGCCAGTATCTAGGAATGGAATGAATGATATCAATCAATCTCAGCGCATTTTTTGCCGGTATTTACTCACGCGGACCGGCGATCACACGAAGGCCTGCCGTTATCCGAGTGCTAGCTTGATTACCGGTAGGCAGTGGGCTCCACAAACAATAACTCGACCTTCGCTGTCAAAACTATTACGTTAACTAGCTTCTAAACTGATGAGGATAGAAAAGCCTCTAAAACAGTTCCACATGCGAGTCGTGCTCGATCAATTCCGATAAAACGAGCATAGAAGGAGCTATCGATCGTTATGGGCGTGAAAACTGACAGTTCCGTAACTGCAGCTTGGGGAATTTATCGGTTCCTGGTCGGTTTCGTAAGGTATGTTCGTTATTTCGTGCTTTCATGGAGGAACCTTCGCATGCAACAGAACAGAACAGATAAGAAATCAGGTGTCAATAGACCCGTCGTGACATAAGAGCTTTATTTGATCTTATTTCCCGGTTACTCTCATTAATAATCAGCAAAGTATATTCCGTGTAATGATCCCCCACCCCCTGCCCGTAATGCCACCCGTATAAAATTGCGTTTTTTTTTGCAGATTACTCAGTATGTGCACACACACTAAATAATAGAAAGACCAGCATCTCTTGTACCTTTGAACAGTGACCTTTGGAAATTTACGTGTTTTGTTGATAAGTAGAAATCCTTTAATCTCTCCGGCACGATTCAGGAGGATTGTGTTTCCTCCTCTGCCTGAGATCGAGAGATATTCCAAAGTAGACCTTGTACCAAAGAAATATGATAACTATCTAATATTGTAATATTTAGGCTGCCTATTCCGTCAATAAAAACAAATTTATGAAAACCCCCTTGTTTTGAAAAGTGGAAATCACGCGATTAAACGATTAAACACCACAATTGCGATAGTGAGAATCTATGACAGCAAGTCTTATTATTTTGAGAGATAAACAGGACCACGACCCAGAATCCTGAACAGAGGTGAATAGCGCCCCGCGGAATACTTGAGATGTTTATCATAACAAGGCAGTAACAAAGATCGTAAAGTAAATATCGAGACACTGGGGGTTGAAAAGACGGTCCGGGGGCTAAAGTGTGACAGAAGTTGGGGGTCTGCTCTTTCTGGCCTCTCATTGACCTCATTGAAAGACAATCTTCCAAACTAGCGGCGATAGACAGTTCTACTGACCGCAGTCGATGAAAATTGAGCTCTCCAACTGCCTAAACATTTCAACACAGAATTCTAAAAACCTTTTTTTAGCTCTCGAGATACATCGATTGTCTGGCAATTATAAGCAAGTATATCAGTAATATCGTTTCCCCTCAATAGTGTGCCATGACCGTAACAGATCAGTTTGACCGGTCAGAGTTTCACGAGTTCGTGTAATATATGTCGAGTAACTCTTCTCTCCCCAGTATCTTACAGAAATGTCAACGAACGAACGAGCTCGCACCTGGAGTGAGCAGCCAGTTTACCCATACATCACTTCGCACATTACACAAGCTTGTAGTTGAGATTTGAACTGTCAACAGCTCTTCACCACTAAAAGCTGCCGGTTTGATTTCAGACAGGACGATTTCAACTGAGAACACTTTTAAAAATTACAATAACAAAATAAAACACTGGCAGATCTCATTTGGATAATTTTCGCCACCACCTTACAGGTGTGGGTTTTGAGATCGTGTTGTGTGTGGCTTCTGTGTACATCAAATTCAGAACTTCTCCCTTTATGACCAGAGGTTTTGGTTGACTACCATCCCGGGGCCACCTCATATAACTTTAATAGATATAAAGACAAATTCTAGAAGCCATCTTTCAACACTGCAAACTGCAGCCCTGAGGGAAAATTCCGGCACCAAAGAAGCTAACATGTCAGGATGACTTCTCAGTGTACTGCCTGAAACTGAGTAGGGTGTTGTCTGGGTCTTAATTGTTTGTTTGGAGAACAAATTGCTCAGTGAACGTGCCAAGCACGTGCTTGTGTCGTGTTAAGGCCTGGTATGGAGTTTAAGGGCTTTAGGACTGATGGTCTAGACATGATTTCAACAGTCCATTGATCATAATGCGTGCCATTCACGTGATTTAGGAAGCCTGTTTGCCTCGGACTTGCACCTGTAGATTCTGTTTATTGCCTTTTTTTGTGCGCACACCGGGGCTGGGTTTTCTGGACTGTAGTGTATTCCTTGCCTTGCAGACCCGAGTGCAAATGGAAATATTTGACTGTCTCACATAGTTCCAATCATAACGTCTACAGAGTCAGTGTTGTAAGTCTGAGTCAATGCTAAACCTTTTGCGGTTTCATTCTAATATTTCTGTCTTTTCCGGTTGCGATATAGGTTAAATAGCTCCCCAAGATCTAGAAATGAAACTACCGCAACATTCTTACTCCCAAAGAGATTTGCCGTCTTTATTAATTAAGCAGCGCAAGTTTCAAGTGATACTATACAATTAACTTATCAATTTATTTCCATTTCATTAAAAAACAAAACTGTAAGGTTTTTAAAACCCTCGGAAAAACAATTCGAATAACTACGTTATCTAAGTTGGTATCTACCTTTACAAATTTAATCCAAGAGTGCGACCGCTTTGGTCCCTCCGTTTGGTAAGCTCTGATTGATTAATAAAAGTCTAGCTAATCAGACCAATTACATTTTTCAACCAATCAGAATCTATGATTGGTTCAATGCGTTGGTGCGTGTTGTGATTGGCCGAGAAAATATCTTTTTACAACTCCTGTTCTGATTGGATACCAAGTACTACCCGCGTCACGGTCACTAAGCTATGTAAAGACAGTTACGATGTAAGTCAACTTTTCTCCTATATACAATAAAAAAAAATTAAAACGACAGGGTTGCATCCATGTTCGTGATGCCGTCTACCCTTGTGCTGTCCTTCGAACTTAATAAAACTTAACCTACTCTTGTCGGAAAACACATCATAAAACAAATTACAATACTGTGCTGTTTTAGGTCTCGCTAGAAAAGTTAAAAAATTTCGGAGGTAAAAAAACACAAAACGTCAACATATCACGAGATTCAACCGGCCAAATGACTGCATATTAAATTTTAACTGTTTTCTTGCAAAGATAAAATTGATCAAGAAAACTTCTCCTTTCTCAAAAACAGAAATTCTGTTCTAGAATGTTCTTAACGATTAATAAATAAATAATTAATAACTTAATATTATAATTGACCTTGAGAGCTAATAACAACAGGTGAGGAAAGCAAAGTTGTCGTCGTCCGATGAAAAGAAAAAGCAAGAGAATTTCTCCGCGCGGTTTGCGTTAGTCGTTCAACAATCGATGAGTCAGAAAGGATATACTCACAATCTGAGCGCTAATTGCGCCCTTTCGTCCGAGTTACGAGAAAATCAACATCCAGCCTCGAGTTGTCACGTAAGCGAGACGATATGATAATCCGTTATGTTGCTACGCAACTCCTATGCTGAGAATTGCGGGCTCAATTGCTTGTCGGAGTTGTAGCGCTGACTGGACATTCCAACCAATGAACGGCTACCATGGAAAGGAAGTCTGTCGTCTGAGTTTTGATTCCCTCTGTTCAGTTGCTCACCAAAGGTTATTCTTCATAAATCAGTGTTTGGACTATTGACTGGTAATTTGAAGCAGGAGTGCATCTAGTTGCATTTTTTCTTCATTCAGTTGCCCTCTCGACGTTTACAGATGCGAATCACTGAAAAGTAATAAGTTCTACTTTTTATGCGATCTTTTCTGTTTGCGTTCACATTTCGGACACACACCAGATTTGAAGCAAATTCTGTTGAAGGAAAAAAAATATCTGAGGTTCGTACTTAGAATAAAGGCGTTAACTGGAGCCTTGGTGACTGGAGTCCGGCAATATGAAGACACAGAGGCCAAACCTATGGAGCCATCAACACGATAGTTGCAGTATAATCTCTAGAATACGGTTTACCTCCGTTAGCTTGATTTTACAGGAGTTAAGTCACGGATACAATATTTCAAATATTTCGCCCACATTTTTAGTTCATATTTTATAATCTGTTGCAATCGTCCTCATTTTTCTCCCTTTGTAGCGCATTATTTTCTACTTTAACGTAAGATTACGCTGGTCTTCCCACAATACCTTATGTGTCCTGGTCTAATCGCTCGTCAAGAGACACTTGGTGCCCTTATACCCTGAGAACACCATAGTTTTTCCCCTCTTCTTCGTTAGCTTTAGCTTTTGTGTCTAGTCCATTACAACCTTTGAACTCCAGACACCCACAATGCAGATGTTTCACTGTGACCTTGTCATACAGTTCTCCTTATTAGGACAAAAGTCGTCACCAAAGGTGGTTGTGTGACGAGTGGCGAGGAGGAAGGGGAGGGGGAGGGGAGGGGGGGGGGGTAAGGGAAGACTCCTGTAACTTTCATTGATCGTCATTACGAAATCATGTTAATGTTTTCTTACTTGTGAAACACAGTCCGGCACTCTTTGCACTGCGTTGAATGCGGATCGAAGGCGAAAATGATTTCATCTTTTCCACAGAGCTCGCAAACAAAACCTTTAGCTTGACAGAGCTGAAATAAGAAGAACTAAGAGTTTGCAACTTTCAGTGGAAAGTATTTGGTTAAGTTGTTAAAGGTCAAATGAACCAAATATTCTGAAGTTTGAAAAGAATTGGACGAAGCATTGCGGAGATATCGAAATATTAAAATCACTGTTTTTTATCCTTCATAATCGTAGAGCGGTCTGGAAAATTGTCGGATAATTGTCAGAAATAAAACTTGTGACGTCACTGTTGGTGAGCTGAAGAAATGCGGGAAATTTGAAACTGTCGTGGTTTCACGTTCATAGTGAACTTCAGAGTAAAATCACTCAAAATCAAAAGTTAGCACTTTCAAGTTCCCCCAGGACCCAAAACTTAAAAGAGAATGGATTATAAAAATGAAAAGAGAATGCTTCATGCCCTCGAAGCATTCGCGCGTTTGTGTAAAACACTTAACCGAAGACAGCTTTCGAACGAAATCTTGTAGTAAGGAGTTTGTTGGGACCCTCTTTCAAGCTCCGTCAACTTGTAGTCAAGAAAGACGCGGTACCGACGATTTTTAACTTCACTAAGGAACGTTGTAAGCCGGCAATCGGACAAAAAAACAACGAAAAACAGAATAATGCCCGCCGAACAGCGGGCGAACTCCTCGGCCATTCCCCAAGTAAAATGAGGTTAGTATTTAGATCCAAAACCTTCTCCACGGACGACTCACTGACGCAGAAACGCAGCAATGTTTAAGACAACAATGACGTCACAAAGCCAGTCTCAGTTCCATTCCTTCCATTGAAGTGCGCGGTCATTTTGGAAACGTTTTCGAGAAGCCATCGGCTGTCTTCGTACTTTCAACTTTTTTTA